TTTCTACACTTAGTTCTAAAATCAATACAATAAAATATTTATTCTTATTTAACGTACGTAGTAGAATTTAATTACAAACATATTATTATAATATGTTGTTAGATTAGTAAATTACATATTTTTAAAAACTGCTATATTAACTAGAAAAATTATTATGCAAAAAGTTCAAATTTAAATACTACTCTTTACAAATCTTCGTATTTTTTAACTTTAGTACTAACCTGTCTTTATCCTATTACTTACAAGGAAAGTTGAAAATATGCTGTGAAAATTCAGGTTACCAAATATGCATACACTTCAAAGAAATTTTGTTTCACACAGTTTGTCAGTTGATTATAGCGATTTATTTCTGGAATCCCGCTTTTTCTGAAATCAGCTGATCGAAATTCCCTGATCTCCATCGCTGTCAAATAATCAGGGAAGGCGTTTGAGAGAAAAGTGAGGGCCAATGCGAGAGTTTCGTATCATTTTATCCATGCTTTATACTTGATAAAAAGCTATCATGGAAGCTACATGTGGAGGATCAGGTGAAGTACGCAAATGTTTGCCATATTTTACTATAAAGGAGCTGTTGAGTAGCGGTGGGAGCTCTCACAAAAAGTTGTGCCATGGCTTTCAGAAACCTCGTTAAGTCAAGGCACTTCTACAGTGTATTTGTGTAGTGGTGTTCGGTAAAGCCACACCCGTTCAATGGGTGCCTATCATTGACATCAGAGTTACACTAGGCCCAACTCCAACGATGGTACTTGATATCCTTCAAAATAAAGGGGGGCGGGGTTGACGCTGGCAGGAGCCTTCAGCTCGCTGACAATGAACTCAAAGCTGGTCAGCKAATGAGTGACCTCACTAGCAGTAGCAACAAGTTACTTCCATGTTAAACTTGTCTGTTTGCGAAAGGCTGCTGGCTGAGAGTGGAACATAAAAGGTTCATTGTACTGTCAGCTCTTAACAAGGCTCCATCGCCGCAACGATAGGCGTCTTAACTGCACAATGTCCCATTTCTGCTACTTATGCGATGAGGCCAAGGATTTCGGAGAACGCAACTTGTCCAGCTATCGTTAGACCAGAGGTGAAGCATCTCGGTTTCCATACCTTTTGCGCAYCCACAGAATTGATATAAGTCGCCTCAAATTTTTGATCCACACCTAAATTCTTAACTTACGTTTTACTTCTAAAGTAATCTCAGTTTCTACAGGGTGTCACTTCGTACTGAATTCGTTTGAAAACTATACCTTGTCAGTTTATTAAGTTGTTTAATACTGCGTCAAAGTAAATACTCGCGTAAGACAATAAATTCTGGCATTATATTCTAGATGTAATTTATAAGCACCCATACAACAACATAAATCATTATATGTAATATACTGTTTCATATAGGCTTTGCTTGTTCCGCAGTTGATAGATTCATAAATTGGCGACGTTCCCCTGTGTGCCAAGACGCGCACCGCCTCATAATGAAAGCGAACCTACTCGTATCAGCATTTCGCTTAAATTTACGCAGCGCAGGCGTAGTGTGTTCAGCGAATTAAAGTATTTAYTCGGAATGCATTTCCCGACTAGCCGTACACGCGTGTGTGTGTAGGTAGGTAGTCGTTGATCTTGGGAAATAGTCGCTGTAGAAATACTCACAGCTCTCCTCTTGATATAATTACATGCTCAAGTGTYAAATAAATAAAGCGTTAACGGTTGTGTGTTGATCCAGTACATTATATAATATATCATAAGTGCTTCTATGAGCCTTAGTTAACGCGTTAATTTTTGTAAAATTTACGCTCTCTGCTTATGATTTAYTGCTAGTAGGCGATGAATTTGCAAAAAAATAGTTTAGTGAAGTATAAACAAATAAATTTAGTGGTTAATGGGTTGAGACGCCTGCGCAATTGGAATGCAGTGGCGCTGTGACTGTAACAGTTTTGGTAATAGAAATTTGATTCAAATGAATTATATCGAAACTTATTTGTTACATCTCGGCTGGAAAATTTATATATATATAAATATATTTTAGTTAAAAAAAAAAAAGGTTTTTTTTTAAGTTTTAGAAATTTACTTTTTACTAATTTCGAAAAACTGCTGTTTTTTTGCACCTTTTCAATGGCGTTTGAAAAAAATTGCTACAGATAATATTTTCTGTKGTAATCCTTAACTCTGATGTTTGTGGATGAATTTTGTCAAAAGTGGATTAACGGAAGAAGACGAGTGCGGCTCTTTCCATCCGACGGACCTCATTCCGACTATATCGTTGTGAACATAGCAGCAAAAAGGTCTATTTTAGCTCTGAGGTCATCAGAGCATGATAAGAACAGGAATTTCCAAAAAAATGACATTACCAGGGGAATTTGCTTTCAGAAGGGATGCAAAGCCTCAATGAGCTGAAAAGGTGAGTGCGAGGACAGTATCCTTGAAAAGTACCTGCGTAGGAGCAAAATTCAATGGAATCCATACGACTCGAAACCACAGATGGGATTGGCGCTGGTTTAGTGGGACCTTGTAGCAAAGTGTCAGTATCCATGTGCAGGTTTACAAGCAATTTTCAAGCTGATGTCTATGGCCTTAACAGATGTACAGAGATTAGGTTTGGCTAGGTTAGGTTAAAATGGTAGATAATAAGCRACGCATAGACCAGTTTTGGTCATTTGCGACACCAGATAGAGTTCAGTTCCCAGGTCCAAGAGAAGTAGTCTGGGGACGCCAGATGCTTACAACGTAGTCTCACCAATGCGGCACAAATGCACAAGAGATGCTCTACTGTTTTCCCTTACCACGCTTCTGTTCAGATCGTCTAATGTTTTTCACGTTTTCGGATGTTAGCTGCACAMCATTCTTCACAATCTCGTCCACTATTTGGTTGCCCTCGATGCCTTTGTGACCTGGCACYCAGTAGAAGTGAAGTTGCTTACTTCTGACAACACTTTCCACTGCTYCACAACTTCCCAAGACACTTCTGGCTGACTCTGGAATTGCCCGCAGGTACATTAGAGCTGGCTTCGGCTTCTATCGCAATAGCAAAGACTCAGTTTGAAATATACTGCAGTGGTATGGCAACTTTTAGARTACGTATGCGCACAGATTATTCTAGGAAAGAATTTTCACGATACTAACGCGCAGAATAATGGATTATAACATAAATCTATATCCTACTAGCATTGATCCTTGGGCTGCAGAAAGGGAAAAGTTCCAGTAGAGTGTCACTGTGTCTGGGCTTCTACAAGCGAGACTGTTTCTGAGAGTTTGATACAACACAAGAAACTAAACGCTTTTCCCAGATATAAAATAAGTTAAATTTACACAGGTCACTGCAGGCTGTGGAGTTATCTTCATAGAATATGGGACTGTTCCATAGACCGGTGTTGCTTTGGCGACCAACGAGCAGAAACACCGGAGCACATAATCCGGGATCGCYCCAAAATCACAAGGAGAATGAACCAGGCTGTTGGACAATTAAATCCGATAAGAGAACATTACAACCATTAAGTTAAAGGCTTTAATAAGCCTGATTTATTTGGCATTATTTTGGTTATACGAAGTATTGTATTAATAGGAGAAGGTACACAGGGCATTCCTCAAATTTCAAACTTTCTGTCTTCTACTCAATTATCCAGCTTCCTCTAAACTGAGGTTAGCCGCGCATTTTGGCTCGCGTCTAAGTTAGATTCTGTGTTATAAGGTTTCTCTATGAATACCTGCCAGGTTCAGGCATCTCAAAGTAACCGCTGTTTCAACTTGGTTTGTGTCATGAGAATCAGCCGTGGATGTTATAAGTTAATCRAACGGTCATTGCCATATTATTTGTCAAAACTTATAAGTATGCAAGCAAAGCAGTAAATATCGGCGCGAATAGAAAAAAAAAGGGTGGCAAGATTGGAAAGAAGTTCACATAACAATACGAGTATATATTGTGMCWAAGARCATATRCATATGCATACTTACATTCAGTTCAATACCATAAACATCAAAAGTGCAAAGTCTTCAAATTGCATACGAAGCAACAACTACGTCAACAACATCGAAACACACAACTGCTACACCGCTGAGGGTACACATTATTTACMCTTTTTATATTTTATTTTCCAGTGCGTTTGTATGAGCGCAGGTACTGTTTACAAAAACAAAGCGAGTTAAGGACATCATCATTTCAATTAAATAATTGTCCGCTGATTTATGTTGAGCATTTACATACATATTTGTTGTTGACCGTAGAGCTGTCTGTCTTTACGGCGGACTGTGTCACTGTCGGACTGGTTGCACTGATTTGGTTTCAGTGCGTTCGCATGCGATAATTCAATTGTGATCTGTTTACGCAAGTGCGTTCGGTAGTGCCATCGGGTGCTTGCGTGCGTGTGTGTGTGTCTAGGCACACAGTTGCTTTTAATTTGCTATTTGTTGGAGAATTTAATGTTCTGTTGTTTGTTGCATTTGTAAATTTCACCGTGTACACATGTATTTTGTTTTTTTTTTTTTTT